TAGGGGTTATAGTCTAACATTGGTGAGTACTATCACCATTTTACATCGTTGAAATACCTTGAGGATCCCCTGAGATGTTGAATACTGATAACACCTCTCAGTAATTCAAGCAATAGTCCTGTTTTCCCCCAGGTTAGGAGCAGATCATTTTGATTCTTTTGATGAGCACCAGGTAAAAGAAGTGGCTTTTACTCAGAAGTCATGGATATGAAAAAATGTGTATCTCTAAATCCTAAAGTCAGACACAGTGTGGAGGAATACTTCCAGGGTGAATGCAGACCCGGAGGCCAACTTGAAAAGGAGCCAGTCTGGACTCCACTACAGGGACACATGCTCATTGAGTGCAAGGGTGACGGAATCACATGCAGTATTTAGATGTTGTTTTTACTTTCGTTCTCTTTCTTTATGTGGGTAGTAGAAGTAGAGTATGTCTTACTATGTCCTAAGTGCACAGGATGCCACTCCATGTGATAGAGGCAGGAGACAAACAGCAGTGGGTCCCAGGTGAAACCCCACCTTTAAGCTGAGAAACCTGAAACCCACAGCCCAAAGTGAGAACTTCTATTCCTGTTTGCCCACTCTCTCCCAATTGGTTCTTACAGAATAACACCTTTTTGCCGATCTAATATTGCCTTTTCCTAAACTACTTACAGCCTGCCCTGCCCTCCATCCTGTGCCTATAAAGACCCCAGACTCAGTTCATAGAGGGAAGAGAAGCAGCTTGACTGGACAGAGGTGACTTGACTTCAGAGAGATGGCAGAACTTTGGAGGAGAGACAGCTTGACTTTGGAGAGACTGCTCGACTTCAGGGAAGAGCTGACCCCCAGACAGCTGAACTTTGGGGGAAGATTACCTGCCTGTCCTGTGCCCTCTCCAGCTCCCCTCTCCACTAGAGCCATTTCCATTGCTAAATAAAATTCTCCACCTCCACCATCCTTCAAGTATCTGGGCGACCTCATTCTTCTTGGATGCCGGACAAGTACTGGGGACCCAATGAGTGTGGGTACCCAAAAAGACTGTCACACTGGTCCTTTGCCCTTGATGGCAGAGGGCAGCCACCCCATGTGAGGAGGCAAGGGGCCCACTGAGCTAATAACACACCACTGTCCACAAACAGCAGAGCTAAGAGAGCATTGTGACATGCCTTCTGAGGCTTCGGGGTCGCAGGCACCCATACCTGGGTGCTGCCTCAGGGCCTGCATGGAGTTTGCTTTTGTTGGTGCCCAAAGCAGCTAGCCAGACCCTGCACTCACTTGCTCACATGCTCCCTCCCACAAGGACTTGAATGCAATGGGCCAAGTAAATAGGGTACCCCCACTGCAAGTCCAACAAAGGGGTCAGGAAAAATCCTGGATCACATGGAACATGTTTATCTACTTTGAATGCGTCCTGGTAAGATCTTCTCTATAATGAAGTTGATTCCTATGACTTGCGCTGGATTAATCCAGAGAAAATCTCTGGGGGTGGGGAAGCTCTGGCATTTGGCTATGCGAACACTGCAATTCCTAAAGTGCTCTTATTCTCACCAGGAAAATAATATCACTAAGGTTCTTTGCATCTTTTTTGTTATTCTATTCATCCTTTAGTTCTGGGAACCCTGAAGAACCATTTGCTACTTCTGACAATCAGGAAGCCACTGATACACAGCAGGTAAGATACCCTCAGACCAAAGCCCATGGTTGCCATAAAAGTTCAGTTCCTGGACCAAGGGTCCAACAGTCATTCATTCATTGTGAAATATTTCTGCAGTGTATGTTCATGGTATTGTTATCATCACAATGTGTTATTTATTGAGTGCCATCTCTTCATGTTGGGATACGTGGAGCACATACCAGACAGGGCTTTTCTCCAAGGAAATGGAAATGGAATTCAGATGGTCACGATTCATGAGATAATATAAAAGCTAGTCATGTTGTTCAAACATGGTTTGCAATGAGATCAGCCTTGGAGGGCTCAGATAAAAGAGTTTGATAAGAGAGGAGGGAGGGAAAGTTGCTTAACTCTAAGGGAGCAAGATATTTTCAGGTATGGGGTACACCATGAAGGTCAGCACCAAAAGGAATAAAAAGGTAAGAGGTGGAGAAGAGAATACCAGGATCACATCGGTCATCAGAAAGGAGCATATTGGGGAGGAGAAGAATGAGAAAAAGTGACCCAGCCCAGAGTTGTGTATTCGTGGTTGTATCTTGGTGCCATGTGCTGTTTTTCCGGGGACAGGCTGAAAGAACATTTCCTGCCTTGTTAAGGGAAGTGACTCCATAAGGCTGCCCTGTCCAGGATAGGAGAGGAGAGCCATATCACATCTGTGCTGCTTTTTAATCTCTGCTTGGTTTTGTTTGTTCAAGTTAATGAAAATTATGTGCTATTGTTATGTAGTGATGCCAGAAAACGTTTCACCAGAGACTTCAAAAATGTTTCTGGTACTATGCCCATTTCATGTGGTTTCACTTTCCTCTGTCTTCCGTCCTCCCTGCTCTTTCACTCTCCCTTCCCCTGAAGCCCTTCACTGATGCTAATGAATTAATAACATGTGACTGGAAGGATGTTTGAAGAGAATTCAGACTAAGCAGGCAAGGCAGCCCACAAAAGATAAAGTGATGGAAACATCTAAGGGTGAACGGAGTTACTATCATTTATAGAAGACCTATTTGTAGAACCATCCAATAGGAACACATAACTTACAGTTCCTCAAATTCATAGCTGGAGCTGATGAATTAGGATAAATATACCTCCATCTGGGAATAATTCATTGTAATTTATAAACTCCTTTAGGAAAGGAACTACGTCTTCACCTTTCTCAGTCAGTCCCCTGGGTACTAATGAATCTGTTTTGTCCATATAGTCTTTCAAAATTTATTAAGTATTAGGCACTCTGCTAAGGCATTGGGAAACACAAGAAATAATGGTAAGGTATCCTTACCCTTATGGAACTTAAAACCTTGGGAAAGAGGGTAAAACAAGATAGAATGTGGTATCTGCGCGCAATAAGGTAAAACCAAAGAGTTTTGGGATCTTATTGATCTTATTGATATTGATAAGGGGTATATATCTCTAAGAATTCCCAGTACCAACTGAAAGAAACTCTACTGAAGCCGATTTAAAACACAAATGAGAATTTACTGGCCTTAGTCAACTGCAGAGTAAAAAGTAGCACTAGATTTAGGCTGATCATGTACTCAAATTATCTACCAGGTATCTGTCTTTCTGTATTATTTTGACTCTGCCTTCGTATCAGTTGGGCTAATCTCAAGAAAGACTCTATCCATGTTGTAGCAAAGATAACCATTGGTAGCTCCATATTTAGGCTATACCACCAGAGTCAGGGTTGCAACAAAATAATATATATTCCAAAGAATTTCCAGCAAAACTCTTAGGGCTTCCTCTTGCGGGATCAGCTTTGGTAAAGTGCCTACACATTATTGTTGTTGCCAGAAAAATGAAGTAGACTGATAGGTGAGGTTTAGGTCATGTGCCACTTCTCTGGAATGTAAAGGGTAGAGTCAGGACCACGCAAATCACAGGACTCAGAGTGAAGAATAGGCATTTTTCCAAGTGAAAATCAGGGTTATCAGAACAAGAGGGCATGAATGCTGGGTACACGAAAGCAACAGTGCTTCAGAGCTATCCCAAAAAGTTGATGGAAATTTATGAAGGAATAATTGTGACTCCCCAAAGATGGATGAGTTTGAGAGACGGACATGAGGACTGGGAGAACAAAAATTCCAGTCCTTTCACTTGCATATAGAAAAGCTTAGTCACATGGGTACACCTAAGTGCAACAGGAAGCTGGGCAATGTAGTTCCTGGCTGTGCCTTCATAACATCATACTAGAGTGAGACAACAGAGTCTGATGAACAGACTCTGTTGTTCCCATTACAAGGGGGAATTTAGGGAGGTGTTGGGATTTGTAGAGGAGTTGATGGTTGAGGTGATGTCTGAAAGAAGAGTAGGAATTAAGCAGAGAAGGAGTGGGTGGTAAGGTGAGAAGGGTGATAAGATGCATGTGTGTTCCACTTTTGGGCTGGAGAGGCAGTGATCTAGGGAGAAGTACATACAGGTGTAATTACAGGTATGTGTGGAAGGATTTACACCCAAGCATTAACACTTGTCACTTTAGGAGTAAGGCAGGAAGAAAAGAGGAAGATCACTATTTTTTTTAACTTGACACAATAAACTTGTATTGCTGTTTTAACATTTTAGTCCTGTACAATTCAATGAGAGATGTGCAGAAAGTGGTATCTAATATAACAGATTTTTAGATTTGAAAAAGAACTTGGGTATCATTCCTAGAAGCTGAGAAAAGTAAAGTAACTTTTTAAAATCTCATTCAAAATAAACAAATTTTGAAATCCGAATGCAAGTTAACTGGTTAATTTGTTTAAAAGTATGTGGTTTTATAGTTGCCCTCAACCATCATTTTTATTTTCCCCAGATTTTCTTTGTGTGAATAACTGCTATTCATTGAGTATGCACTGAGCACCTGGCACTGTGCTGGGCCTTAGAATACAGCAATGAACAGGCATTTGTGAACTCTGGACTATAGAGCTTCAGTTTGGCTTTAATTTGTTCATTAATGTCTATCAACTAATGAAGGCAATGTAAACAATATATAAACTATCTGATTTTCAGGTTCGAGATTCCTAGAAAGAAGTTAAATTTGAAACCACTCAATTATGGTTTCCCAGCTATCCAGTATCTGAGGAGCAACTTCACTGATGTTCTATTCACTTGGATGCAACATATTATTTCTACTAGAAATCATGTCATTTGGCAACAACAACCTCATCCTAAATGATTTTTCTTTCAGTGACTTTAGGTGTATGACCTATTGTATCTTAGAACAATATTAGTCTTAAGTTAGAAAAACACAAAAAGAAACAATAAGTTTGGGATTATCAAATTAACTCCTTGTAGCTATGTCTTCCCCAAGAGCAAATGCCGGTAGTAATGTTCCTATGGGGTATTCTAACTTTTTATTCTTTCAAAACAAACACTGAAGGAGATCTATACAAACTTTATTGTGGCCTACTTTAAGATTTATCCAAAAATTTAAAGGAAATAACAACTTATTCAGATAAAAGATGGGGGCACTGAAGTGGGATGGCAGGAACATTTATTTAAATACTTTTACCTGAAATAGGCTTATACTCAGGTTGGATGAATAAGGTTGTTTTTTCTAGACCCTTTCCTAATCTGATGCTAGGAAAAAAGTAGAGCTGATAACAGATTTTTAAAGAGCTAATTACCTTTCAAATGCCTTAGTTCTCTAGCTGAACACTTCTCCCCCAGCATGAGCTAAGGCAAGGTAGTAAATTAAACATAACTTGATAGATAAGTCTTTGAACTTTCTAACTATAATTTATTGTAATGAAGCAGAAAAACAGAGATCTATACTCAGTTGGTGAGAAGGCTTTTGTATGGTTGATGGTTCAGTTTCATAATTTGCTTTTATGGTAAAAAGACACACTAGAGTAATCTGTCTCTCTGATTATTTCTTGGCATCAACGAACACTCTTGTTTTCTCAAAAACGATAATATCAGTCATTTTAAAAAATTGGACCCTAAATGCAATTCTGGAAATAAAATCAATTCTGAACATTTGGTTGCTGTACTCCCAGTCAGTAACATCTTCACGAGATTTGAAAATATATATTTGAGAGTAACCTTCAGGTGCAGCTGGCAGTAAGCAGATATGTCTTCATATGCTGGGAAAACAAGAGAGGGTGCAGGGGCAATTAAGTGGCAATAAAGAAATAGGTCTACCTGGAAATTATTCATTCATTCACTTATTCTTTCATTCCACAAATATTTACTAAGTCTTTACTACATATAGACACTGCTACAGGTGCTGGTAATTAAAAGTGAGTAAGATAGATATTATTGCTCTAAAACTGTTGACAGGTTAAACAAATATTAGTCAGAAGAATCTTATTTGATACCAGTGGTGATCTATACTATGATGGAAAAGTTATTAGGAGATTATATAACAAAGAAGTCTAACCTGGTGTGGGGAATCTAGGCCTCCAGGGGAAAGTGGCATTCAAGCAAAAATCCTGAAAGATTAATGGAAGAAATAAAAGGAGGGACACGGGGAAGAGGTACAGACAGAGAGAACGGCGTGTGCAAAGGACTAGAGGCAGAGACTGGTGCATTTGAGGGGCTAAGAGATAGCAGATTACTTTTAAGTTTTTGAGTTCATTTTCTTGCCTCCACATGAAACCCATTGTCATCCATCTAGTTGTCAATCTGACATCTTCTGGATGTCTAACAGATAGCTCAAACTCACCAAGTACAAAACAGAGATCTTGATTCTGCTCCAAAAGCCTGCTCCTTCCCTAGCATTTGCCATCTCAGCATCACCATGTACTTGGTTGCTCAGCCCAAAAAACCTTTAAACCTCGGTTCTTCTTTTGCTCTCACATCCACATTTAGTCCCTCAGCAAATCCTGCTGGCTGTGCAGTTAAAATATCCCGCATATAGCTGTTCTTCAACAGCTCCACCACAGCTGCCTTGGTATAAATTGCCGGTGTGCCTCACTTGGCCCAAGGCAAAAGCTTTCTGACTTCTCTCTCTGTCTCCACACTTAGTTCTACCTGATACTGTGTTCTACATTCCATATTTGTTTGCTTTATTGAGGGCATGGTCCTTATTTCTTTTGCATATTTTTCTAGTACCTGGAAAAGTTTATGACCCATGACAGGTACTCCATAAATAGTGTGGAATGAATGTGTAAAAGCTCGGATGACTGATTGATGTAGTATGGATATTTGTCCCTGGCTGAATCTCATGTTGAATTATAATCCCCAATGCTGGAGGCAGAGGCTGGGGGGAGGTGTTTGGGTCATGGGGCATATGCCTCATGGTTTGGTGCTGACTTTGTGATAGTGAGTTCTCGCAAGATCTGGTCGTTTAAAAATGTGTAGGATTTCCTCCCTCCTTTCTCTCTTATTCCTGCTTTCACTGTGTGGCATGCCTGCTCCCCCTTTGCCTTCTGCCATGATTGTAAGCTTCCTGAGGCCTCCCGAGAAGCTGAACAGGTACCCATGCCATGCTTCCTGTAAAGCCTGCAGAACAGTGAGCCAATTAAATCTCTTTTCCTTATAAATTACCCAATCTCAGGTATTTCTTTGTAGCAATGTAAGGACAATCTAATACACTGATATATGGTAAGTGAGGAGAGGCGTGATACAAAATGAGATGGAGAAGGTATGGGTTTTTAAAATAGGCAGGGCTTTGTAGGCCATCTTAAGAAGTTTGGACTTTCTTCTCAGAGAAGTAAAAAGCCATTGAAGATTATGAGAAGAGGCTGTAATACAATCTGATTTAGGTTTTAACATTTTTCAATGAAATTGTGAGCTTGAATGTTTTATTATCCTCATGAACAGGTTCAATGGCCCATCACTTATGAATATATTTTAATTGTTTTATGTAACTATGCTTAACAGAAAAACACTTTGTATGAGATTAAAAGTCACTCTACGGAGACAAATAACATGATAATTATATCATTTTTACTCTAGACAGGCAGTAACGAGTAGTAATTTTTAGAGGAAAACATTATTTTTTAAGAATTAAAATTGTATTATTAACAAAATATATTTCCTTATACTTTTATATATTATATTAAGCCTTGATAGACTCAGTTTACTTACACCCTTATGAATACAGTAATTCAAATAGAATGCCTACTTTGAGTTAGGGGCCAAAAAAAACCCATGGGGATTTTGAATGGAGTCTGGGCCACAGCTTAGCACAGCATTCTCCAAATTTTATTCTATAGACTATATTTCCCCAAGATATTCAGAGGTACCTGATGTAACTGGGATTCTGGTGCCAGAAAAGCCTCAGAAAAGATGGACTACATGAAATTACGTGCGTTTAATTCAGGACTTTGAGATCCTATAATTTGCTAATAAGCACTCCGAATCCCCCAGAGGGGAACATAGAATGCAGCATTTCCCACTCTTTTTCACAGAACACTTGTTCTGCAATATATTAGTTCGTTTTCACACTGCTCTAAAGAAATATCTGAGACTGGGTACTTTATAAGAAAGGTTTTATGAACTCACGATTCTGCAGGCTGTATAGGAAGCATACTGGCCTCTGTTTCTGGGAAGACCTCAGGAAACTTACAATCATGGTGGAAGGCAAAGGGGAAGCAGGCACTTCACATGGCCAGGAGCAGGAGGAAGAGAGATGGGGGAGGTGCCACACACTTTTAAACAACCAGATCTCATGGGAACTCACTCAGTCTACAGTACCACTACACTGTACTAAGGGGGGATAGTGCTAAACCATTCATGAGAACTCCGTCTTCATGATCCAGTCACCTCCCACCATGTCCCACCTCCAACACTAGGGCTTACAATTTGACATGAGATTTGGGCATGGACACAGATCCAAACCATATCATGCTGAGCATGGTTTGGGAATTGCTGATGGGTGAAGGCACAAGGAATGACAGGTAACTCAGGATACTAGTAGGCCCAGCTTCAAGGGCATGGACTGATGCAGGCCTACAGAGCCCAACTCTTGGAAGGAGCCCTGTGTCTGGTTTAGTACTCTACTGTCACCATCTTGAAAATTTTCATAAATGTTTAAGTATTTAATTTGTTTTATAGGGGAAGTCCTAAGGGACCCTGGAGCCTGCGAAATAATGGAGGGATTACACTGAGTCACAGCATGTGCACAAGAGGGCTCAGGCCAGCTTGTACAGAGCAGTTGGTCAGGTTCCCTGGTGTGCACGTGCACTGGGGCAGTCAGGGCACGATGGGAGCCCAAGTGGTGAGCTGAGTCTGGTACCTGGGTCCACATTGGTGGTGTCTACGAATGCATCAGGAGCAGATGCATCTGCAGTGGTGACAGCACTCCAGGACCCAGAAAAGAGGAAGGCTCTGCGGACAGCTGGGGGACTCAGATGAGAAGCCAATTTGCCAGTCATTTCTCATAGCCAGTCCTGTCTCTGTGGCATCTTTGAGGCCTGAGCATTGGGACAGGAACTGCTGGCACTCAGGCTGTAAATGTGGTCAGTGAATTATTATGAGATAAAAGTGTACACCTGGACAGTCCAAAAAGTATATCATGGGGTTACTAGAATTCTTCAGATTTTAGAACCTCTACTTTTGAAAACGGTTGAAGCATTGCAAAGTAAATACTGTGTCCATAGGCTTAGAAATAGAAATGAATGTAAAAATAGTCATAGTCATTGGAAAACAACACTATTTTTATATAAAGCTGTGGATGAATTATGCTGCTATAAAGACACATGCACACGTATGTTTATTGCAGCACTATTCACAATAGCAAAGACTTGGAATCAACCCAAATGTCCATTAGTGACAGATTGGATTAAGAAAATGTGGCACATATACACCATGGAATACTATGCAGCCATCAAAAAGGATGAGTTTGTGTCCTTTGTAGGGACATGGATGCAGCTGGAAACCATCACTCTTAGCAAACTATCACAAGAACAGAAAACCAAACACCGCATGTTCTCACTCATAGGTGGGAACTGAACAATGAGATCACTTGGACTCAGGAAGGGGAACATCACACACCGGGGCCTATCATGGGGAGGGAGGAGGGGGGAGGGATTGCATTGGGAGTTATACCTGATGTAAATGACGAGTTGATGGGTGCAGCACACCAACATGGCACAAGTATACATATGTAACAAACCTGCACGTTATGCACATGTACCCTACAACTTAAAGTATAATAATAATAAATAAATTTTTAAAAAAAATTTATAATTGAAGATACAGTGATAGAATATGTAAAGAAACATTTTGTACTATATACAAATCATGAAGAAACTTTCTCCTTCCTTCCTTCCTTCCTTCCTTTCTTTCTTTCTTTCTTTCTTTCTCTCTTTCTTTCTTTCTTTCTCTTTCTCTTTCTTTCTTTTTTTTTTTGTTTACAGAATCTTGCTTTTGCTGCCCAGACTGGAGTGCAGTGGTATGATTATAGCTCATTATAGCCTCAACCTCCCAGGCGCAAACAATCCTCCTGCCTCAGCCTCCCAAGTAGCTGGGACCACAGGCACATGCCACCACACCCAGCTAATTTTTAAAAATTTTTGTAAAAATGGGACCTCACTGTGTTACCCAGGCTGGCTTCAAACTCTTAGGCTCAAGCAATCCTCTCACCTCAGTCTCACTAAGTGCTAGGACTACAGGTATAAACCACTATGCCTAGCCTCAATTTCTTGCAAAAACACCACAAGTTACAAGAAATGTCAGAAGAAATATTAAAATGCCATTGTATAAATTTACATTTGCAACTAAATTCAGACTTACACAAACTTATTTTTTTGAAGAAATAAATCTTTCTGAAAAATTGAGCCACAGAATCATTATCTTAGATGTGTTAAAATTTATATTTTGAAATAATTAATCTGAATTTTATCACAATGTTGTCAGTCTATGACAAATATTAACAGCTCTAGTAGCAGTAGCATCTGAAAAAGATATTGCTCAAAATTAAAAATTATCAAATTATTTGTGATATTGCATTTGCCAAGAGTGCCAGATATCATTTTCCATTATATCAATTGAAAATGAAGTTGCTAAAATAATAATTTTAATGACCTAAAAAATAAGTTTTCAGCAAACCAAGCCAAAAGAGTTCTACAATCAATATATCATACTAATAAAATTAATTTTTGTTATATGATATAGAATTATAACGCAAAAATGTTTATGCAATTTCTGTTTATGTTGTTACTCATTTATCACTTTTACCCTTAGAATGTCTTGTAAGTATTAACATATTTTTAAGGTAGAACTTAAAGGTAAAGGTAAAGAACTTTTAAAGTAGAACTTTGTACTTTTAGATCTACTTTTGTCCTGCTCTTTGAACAGGGGTCTCACATTTTCATTTTGCACTGGGCTTGGCAAATTATATAGATAGGCCTGGACACTAAATGTGAACTGATGAAATTAAGTGATTCAAACTACTGTTCCTCAAAGGGTATTTGACATGTTTTACAAGAAATGTCAGGATGGCAGACAAATGCAAGATTTGTTTTAGATTTGGATTCGACAGCAAAAGATAGTTTCCACCAAATAAGCTTTAAAATCCTTCCCATTTTCGTAGCAAGATAGGATCCTAGAAGGCCATGCAGGCCACTTGCAGAGAACACAGAAGATACCAAGAAGAATGTACATAGACAGGCTTGTCAACAAAATTATTGCATCCATTGATTCCCTTTAAGAATTAGGATAGTCAAGGTCAATTCCTGATGATGGAGGGTCTCCAATACTCCAAAAGAATTTCTATAAGTGGGAAGAAGTATCTATTATTTTGGGGTACTTCCAAAACGTTAAAAAGGATAACTTGTACCTAAAGCCTGAGAACATGTGAGTTTTTTTGTGTGTTGTTTCGTTTTCTGTATTTTTTGGGTGTATTTATGTGTGTTGGGGGGGCAGTGCTGTGTATGTGGACACGGCGGTGGTAATTGTGCTGAGATGAGCAACACTGTTGGAGAGAATGACTCATCTGGGGAGATCAAAGGACAACATCCCATGAAGGATCTGATAGGCCTCAGTATGGATTTGGGGCTTTATTCTAGAGAATTCAATAGTCTTAT